TTATGGGGAAACCAAACACCCAATCTCAAGTCGTTCGTCTAAAAGACAACAGACATTTGAACCAAACTATATTTTGCCATGTAAAGCTAACTTAACCCAAGTTAGAAATGGAAAAGTAGTTTGGAACCCTTTTCTATAGGCTTAAACCCCTGTAGTTACCCCTTTTCAGCATGCTCCACCCCTTAACTGGTAGTCGTAGCTGTTCTCAACCATAATAGCTTACACACCAGGTGCATATAGTTTAAGGCCTTATGTAAAATCCCCTTCATAAGCCCACCTTAAACCACATAATTGCATGACACATTGAACCAGAACGGCACGGGCTGGACGTCGCTGGAGACAACCTTCGCTGGAGGCGACCTGCAATCCTGACGTTGGTCTCCACTCTTCATCCAGTGGCCGCTTCTTCAGTTCAATCCAAGGGTACCCCTCTGTATGCTGATTAATCAACACTTCCAATCGTTGTGGATTTACCATTGTGGATTATATGACTTTTTCCAGTGGATTACAGACTCTGTTTCCAAGGGGTTAAAGCATTGCTACAATGGAGTATCGAGACGATATGGAATTATAATCAACACAATGGAATTACCAAGAACATTGTGGAATTACCTTGACTTTTGTTTTCCTTGCTGGATTACTCTTGACTCTTGTTTCTTTGCTGGATTACATCAAGCTTCAAGGACGATCGACGACGTAAGTCCATAGTTGGAATTCATCTCCATGGACAGGTGATGATTTCCAAAGGGGGGACTGTAGTGGACTAAGCCTACGTCGAAACCCAGTCTAAGGTCAAAACTCTTGACCTTTAGAACCTTGTGGGACAGAAGCTGTCATTTCATGTATTTGAATACATAGATACAGGTTCACCCATCCTGAGACTTTCTTTCTTGAAGATTCAAGTGAAAAGAACACTCTCTTTTTATTATCATTACTATCTTACAAATGTTGATAATCAAAGTGTCTTAGTTCAAACCATTTTAGATGTTGCAGTGAACTAATCAATTTTATTAACTGAGTAATGATTTTTATTCTCATGTTAAAAGCTGTTGCAGAGTAATTATGCATTTTTCTGATTTCTGCTTTTGAATGAGCAAGTGTGTGCGTTTACAAGGTTACAGTCAAACGAAAAACAAGTTGTTATGTTAAAACTGTCATGTTTTAGAATCCTCTCAGACGTAAATAGAGATGTTTTGCACCTGTTTCTTAAACACGCCACAACAAACCCTCTCGGTCTGTGAGAACATTTCTGAGCTGTCCCATAACAATTCTCGCTGTCTCTAACCTATTACGTCACAAAAACACACCCCTTCTGGTCGTTTCTGACCAATGAAAAATCCCAAAAAGTGAACCGGGAAAGAGCCTTTAAAATGTCAGTACTTCCTGGTTTACACAGACTCACGGAGTTACAGAGTTGGAGAGTTGTCAGACTTCAAGAGTTCTGTGGGAGTTCCGTAAACTACACGAGAGCTAAAGTTCTGATGGAGTGCTGTTGGAGTTCCTGACATGACAACGAAGCTCTTCCGAGTTCCATGGGATTATAACATTTTCCACTGAGGTGAATGTGTGTCGAACAGAGCCTCGCCACTACTTCTGACGGGCTACAGCCATTCTAAGGAGACGCTGCACCGGTAGCGTTAACGGAACACCATATCTGCTGATTATCATCAGAGAGGTAATGGGTCAAGTTTCCTACCAAGCGTACCGAGGCGAGCTGGGCTTCTGATGGAGAGTGTCGGTTCTGGTAACATTCAATTTCCCTCAAACCCCATCCTTTACTCCCTCTAAACTTCTTTCCATCTTTAAACTTTCCTATGAAGTAGAAATTCTCCCAGATATTTAGAAATGTCTGTGTAAAGTGCTTATTCACATCCGTGTGGGTAAAAGATCATAGTTGTACAGTTTTATAAATGTCTGTGGTGCAGCAACGGTAAAATCATGGCCGTATGATTTTTCCTGATTGATTGCTTATGTTGTTATTTTCATAATTTGCCAAATTAATGTAAATGTTTGATGTTAAATTTGATTCTGTAAATAAATGACCGCATTCATTTTGATGGGTCAAATTTAAATGACGTCTCACGTTTGCATTTCCTTAAATTCAATGCACGTTTTATTCAGTCCAGAAAAATGAGGAACTCGCGTTAAATGATGAATACATCCCAGCATCTGTTCATCTACACTTTTGTAGGTCAGCCTCAGTTCTGTAAGTGTATTTTAAGAGTACTCAAGCAATACAAGTTTTATCAAGAACGTCCATTTACCTGCAAAACCTCATCACTTCACTCCATTTATCTTGTTAAACGCTGCATCGAGGCAACCGTCTTTTTAAACAGCAAATATGTTGTCATTCATAAGCTTTGCGCTACTACTTTAACACCATATTCATTAAATCTCCTGGTTGGCATTCATGTGCATTTGAAATGTTGAAGAGGAGACAATGTACATGTCTCTTAGAATATGTGAGGTCTATCTTAGGAGCGCCACTGGGGATTTAGTGGCTGCTTCTGCTCCGACTGCCGAGAAAGAAAGAAAAAAGGCAGCTCAGGGCCGTTCTCTCAAATTACAACCCGTAAGATCCTCAGTGCCTCCGTTTTAGGTAGCAGTGGAATCAATAGCACATACAGAGCTTTGTCGCACAAACATGTCATCAGCTAGCGAGCCAATTAAATCTTCATTTATGTCGTCTGTGGTTTGAATCACAAAACCACTCAGCCACTCAATCTGGGGACCAGACGCTATGAAAAAACACAAGGGCACCACTCTGAGCACTAATCAGTGGCTGCTTTTTTTCTTTCTCAACTCAGAGCCGCATCAGGCGGATGTGGAACGACACTGTGAGAAAGCAGTCGGAGTCCTCCTTCATCTCAGGCGACATAAACAGCACCTCCACACTCAACCAGGGTAAGCAGCTCCTGTCTCCATCATTATCACCATCACCACCGGAGGAAGACCCGTGCCTGTTTGTGAGGAAGCTCTGAATTTACGATAAACACTTAACTGGGTCTGTGCCAGCTGAGAATAGACGAAGATAAGAGCTGATTTCATGCTGCATTTCTCACAGCGATCGGCAATCAGATGCCTTAAATGCCTCTAAGTTCACAGATTTCATTGCATACCCCTGCTTGCTTGGACCATCTAAGTGGAGATAAACAAAGTAAGAGATAAGAGGCGGGATAGTTAGTGAGGTGTAAAATGTTACTGATGAGGTCTTGGGTTCTTGTAGCGACACCAATTGGAGAGCTTGAGTGCGCAGCAGCTCTTTATCATCTTCATCCCAGACCGACTCTAGGGGGTGGAAGAAGAGGGATGGAAATGAGCAAAGTCAGGTGTAGGTCGGAGCAGGTTTTGGGAAGGATCCCAGCGCCATGAAGCTCAGGGTTTGGACTGTGCCAGGACAGATTTGGCTGTAGTTCTGAGTCAGCTAAGAGCCTTCTTTATATCTTTTTCTATTTTTAAAGAGATCCCTGCCAGTGCTGATTTTTTCCACAATTCGTCCAAGTAACTTCGGATGTGTTATTGCATTCTCGAGGGCTTACACAAGTATGCTGAGGTCGGTGGGGATACTGTGTTATTTGTGGCAAGCCACTCGGATATGTTTTGTCTACTGTCTTGACTGGATGAATTTGTTTAGATGAATTTGTTTCGCATAAACACTGCAGCTGATTGTGTTGCTATGCTTTGGTCAACACTTGTCGCTCTAATACTGTTTGTCAGTTGCGTCAGCTGAATGTTTGAACAGCGGCTTGCTTTGACCAGTGTTTTCTATGGCTGCTTTGTCTCTGATAGAAGGCAGACAGAGCAGAGGTTATAAATCTTTTGTGGTGTCCGATTCTAGACAGCAAATATCAACGTTTGTTTATGTCCAAAGCTTCCCAACGCACCACCCGCACCACCGAACACAGAGCCTTAAGCTCTCTTTCTTCTTGCTGTTTCTCACCTCCTAATCTTCTCCCTCTCTGTCTCTCTTCCTGTTATTTCAGGGATGACTGGCAACTACCTTCTAACTAACCCCCTCCTCCGAACCCACGACACTAACCCCTATAACAACCTGCTGGCCGAAACAGTGGTGTGCAACACCCCCTCTCCACCGGCTTTTCACTCCCCAGGTGCACACCCACCCTCCACCTTTGTTTTTGGATTTCTTGCACAGATCTGTGGTTGTTTTGACGAACACTAGCAGCATTTTGAGAAATGCACATGTCGACTTTCTAAGAGAGAGAGAGATTGAAAGCACTCTCGTGTCTTGCCTGTTGGAAACAAAGCTACAACTAAATGATTGGCTTAGTTTTAGAATAAAGGAAGAAAACAGACAGAAACAGCTAGCCTGGCTGCAGTAAAATTAAAAATACATCCCTGCCAGCACTCTTAAAACCTCAGTAATTGACGTTTTATCTTGTTTGTGTAAAAACAACAGGTTGCAGGGTTTAACGGCAAACAGGGAAGTTGGGCTATGCCGCCTCAGTAACAAAATCTGCCCATCAGCGCCCTGAAAGCACCCTAATTAACACTTTATATCTCATTTGTTTAAGCTGCACAAAAACAACAATTTGCCATTTTGGGGTGGGTTATCTGCCAGTCTCAAATCTAAGTGGTTCCCAGGCAACCGGCAGACAAAGAAAGTTACTGGTCTTTGCCAAGAAATTTTTCAGCACTTGATCCAACACAAATTGGAAATTGCCACTTTTATTTATAAGCGCTTGTGCAATTAATAAAATCAACCTGATATTGAGTGTTAATTAGTGAGCCCTAAAGGCTGCTGCAGCTGGATGGTGTTGCGTTCTGACGCAGCCGGGGTGACAGTTTGCCTTCAGTCTTTGTGCTATTTTAAGATAAGATAACCCTCTTCTGGCTCCAGCTTCGTATTCAACAGATGTATGCTGAGAGTGGTGTCAGTCTTCTCATCTACCTCCAACCCTGAAAGCAAATCTTTCTCAAAATGTTGAGCTATTACATCAAGTATGGCAGCTTTTTTTATATATATATATATATATAATAATGAAAACTCTTGAGATTGTGGTTGTGGCGTGGAATGAGTGTGTTCACACTACTCGAGATTTACTTTTTAGTCCTTTTTTCATTTACGTCCTCAATACATTTAGTTCTTAGCTACTATGGGAGACAGAGATCAGCGTCAATGATAGCTTATCTTATCTACTCAAAAGTCATATAGGCATTCCTTAACTTCTGCTTATTGGTTCAAATCATTCATCCCAGTATGAAACCTTTACGTTCACTCAGGATTATACAGTTTGAACAGCACTAGTGTTTAATGTGACCTAGTTCCTTACCAGCAGAGAGAAAAAGAGCCCCAATCAAAGAAGCAACAGAAGCACATGACGCAATGCGGGCAGACTTACAGGCCTGTTATTCACAGGCATTTGACGATAAAAGGGAATGCGCAAAGTGGCAGAAGGTAAAAGTGTGTATGGAACGGATATGCCGATTAACCTGCTTCAGCGTGTGTTGTTTAGCGCTGGGAGCAGGCTTACAGCACGATGCAAGCGCTTCACACTTGGAGATAATGAATCAGGGCAGGTACGAAATGTCTGCACAGGAAATCAAACGTTTTTTTCTTCGTTCCTTTCTATCTGAGGCGAGTTCACCTCCAGTCTACTAGCTTTGATGCACATCTTTATTGTGTTTCAAACCCTAAAATGTTTACCTGCCTAATCAGTGCTGAATAACTGCACTTTAACACTGGAGCACAGGAGACCGATAAAAAGAGGAAATATTCAATTAGTAGGAATCCTCATAGTGAGCATAAACTTCTGCTTTACCTGTGCAAAACACTTTTCTCCCTCCTCAGGCAGGCGTCTATAGATGGGTGGGTTCAAACATCGGCACAACAGAGGAAAAGCTTCATATCCTTATTAAACAGCAAATGCAGTTTCAAACAGGCAAAAAAAATGAAGATACAGTAGTCCCTCGCTACTTCGCGGTTCGTTTATCGCGGACTCACTCTATCGTGGTTTTTCAAAATAAGATTGGACATGACACACAATTGGCTGATTGATGGATGAGCCACACGATCGGCATGGATATTTTTATTTAAAATAAATTATTTTAAATGATTTAGCACATGCTGCACATTTGTGCAGCCCATACTGCAGGATAAACTTCCTGCTGCAGCTGATCAGCTGTTCACCGTGAAGAGCGGAGAAGTGGGCGTGGCCATGAGCGCTTGCGGGTGGCAAAGAGCAGAGGAGGCAGGGAGCTGAAATCTTGACATTCTGTGCTCTTTTAGAACGTTCAGAGTTTAGAAACATTGTTTAGAATATTGCAAGAGTGTGGAAAGGGTTTAAGATGCCTTTATTGATATAAATAATGAAAATAAAATACTACCGTATTTTTCACTGTATAAGTCGTGTTTTTTTTGCATAATTTACATGCCCTGTAACTTATACGCCAAAGCAACGTACTTATGGATTTTTTCCCATATTTATAAACTATTTTTTGGTTGAGAAATGACCGTTTTCATTCATTCTGATGGAATATATTGAACACTACCGTTTTCAGCCGCTAGATGGCAGTGGAGTAGTATGTCATTTTAGGTGGTTATCTTGTTAAATTTTGAAGAAATGCACAGTGAATCCTGCCGTGCACATGCTTGCTTCCACTTATCAGCTTTTGAAATACAGCTGATTTGACCGTCAAAGTGCATTTTCAGGAAAAGTTAGACTGAGACACATCTTTGCTATAATTTCGAGCAAACAAATAATTGTTTTTAAGTGTTAATCTTGTTAAATTCTTGTAAAAATCCTCCCGTGCACTCTCCCATGGCCGCTATTTGTCAGTCAATCGATTTTTGGCACAACACCGGCCCACATTTCTGGGTTCGGCCCACATTTCCGGGTTCAGTCCACATTTCCAGGTTGTCAGCGGTGACGTGTAACAAACGCAATGCGTCAGCGGTGACGCATAATAGATGCAACATATTTATGTATTTTTCCACTTTATTAGACATTTTTTGGACTGATGCAACTTGTAGGGCGGAGCAACGTGTACAGCGGAAAATACGGTACTTACTACTTGTACTAAAATTCCTACTTCGTGGTTTTTCACTTATTGCGGGTCTTCAGGGTACGGATCCCCCGCGATAAACGAGGGACTACTGTATACCATATGGAAAGTAGTTTGCAGAGAGCAGCAGCAGCGTGACACACAAATGTCAAAACGTGGTGAGAAGATCACCAGCCAAGTTTAAAATACGCGTAGAGAAACTGTCAAGTTTGACACGAGATTATTCTGACTTTGTCATGCTATAGTCATCACACTTAGCTCCTGCAAAAAGGATGAGCCTGTCTTTTATTATGAGTGTATTAATACTAAGTAATACTCTGCAGATGTTTGTGCAATGCAAGAGAGTTGGAAAAGGGGAACATATTGGATGGATCTCTGCTGGAACTGTTCCCGGAGTGCAGCTGTCGCCATGTCCAGTTGAATTCTGTTCACATCAATTCCCCACCTCTCCCGGTAGACAATACCTGTCTACAATAAAACCACAGCCTGTGCATAAATAACATGCAAATTTCTAAGCAGGCTCTATCCAGACATGTGTTTCATAATTCCTCCATTACCTCGTCTTCCCCTTTGCTTTCTTCACTCCTTTTAACTTTTTAAAATGTTTTTAGATCATGTTTCAGCTGTCATTCATTTTTTTATATGGTTGTTTTAAACCGTACACTTACAGTGTTTACATCGGTTGCGCTTGCAACAACACTGCACTCACATTTATTCCTTTTCAACGCAAACTGGTTCTTATATCGCTACTCATAAGTTCAAAATTAGAGGAACGTGGTGTGCATAGAGTATGTTTGTGTGTATTTTGTTCATAAAAATGATTGACTTTCACTCACCAGGGAGCAAAAATCATCTCAGTTTCATCTGGAAATCTTCTTTCTTTTTTTGCTTAAAATGTTTGTTAAAAATCTGTGCTTGCTGCTGAACCTTTTCACCTCCAGAGTCCTGGATTCAGTTGTCTTTCGTGTGACATTTTGCCCTGAAATTATTACACAAATCTTTATCCTCAATTACCTGAAACAATCTGAGCAAACATGAGCTAAAAAACAATGAAGAAACAGTCCAGTTGAATCAGCTGAATCCAGGTTGAATGTTACAAGCTTTTACTTTTGTCTTATTTGGATTTTGTTGTTTCTGCTGCAATTGAAAAAGCATATGTTTTACTTTTTTTTTTTTTTTTTTGGCAAATCAGCTGTTCTTAGGCCAGATAGCCTGAGCAGACACACTTGATGTGAGTGGTGGCAAAGTGAGTCATTGCACGGTGCCTGTGTGTTGTGGTGTGTGGGGGCTGTTGATGTGCTTGTGGGGCCCCAGAGCGTAAAGGTGGCTGGCCATCTGTGTTTGACATTAGTCTGTTCAGTCTTTATTTAGCAGGTGGAATGTTTTACTCATTGTTGATGTCACAATGCTTCCTCATCAGTTTGTATCTTTCTATTCCTTTCCATCGCATCCATTGCTGTGATATTGTTGCAGCTGTGTTCTTAAATGGTCTTGAGCTATTTTACAATATTTAAGACTGTAATATATATATTTTATATATATATATATATATATATATATATATATATATATATATAATTAAAGTTTTAAATCATTTTTTGTTCACATTTGTCCAATATTGTTCAGGATAATCTCTTTAAATTGGCCAGAACTATTTCATGTGATTATGCAGTTGTACATGTTGAAGGGTCATTAGGTTCCCCTTTGCATCTTGAGATTTTGCATTTGCAAAACGAATACATTTGACTCATAATCCAAAGAGCAAGAGAGTGAAGTGTCCTGAGCAGTATGAAGTATTTGTGGATGATTGGTGTGTATTATTCCTTTAAACTTGAGCACAGATGTCTAACCTGCTTGTTCTGCCTTTCTTTCTAGGACAGCACTCTCTCAGCAACAGCAGGGACATCAGCGCCATGGACACTCTCCCTCTCAATGGCAATTTCAACAACAGCTACTCCCTGCGCGACGACGACTATGAGGCCGTGGGCGTTCGGCCCCCAGGTGACCTGGGGGGCCTCAACCTGGACGACGCCGCCTTCGAGAAAATGATAATTTCTGAGATTGTCCATAACAACTTGAGGCCCCGCGGGCCTCCCAAAGTTCGCAACAACCCAAGAGAGAAGGACAGAGCCCTGCCTCCTCAAACCAGGGTGACAGTGGATCAAGGTGGGGGTGGGAGTTGCAGCGAGGATGACGCCATCGTGGCAGATCACACCGAGGCCTCGTCTCCCCAGAGAGGAGGTGGAAGAGGCGGTCAAACCACTCTGGAGTTGCTCCTTCACCCCCATCATAAGGAGGTTCTGGAGGCTCCCCTCCTGCCTCAAAGGACTCACTCTTTGCTCTACAGTGCCCAGAAGGCCCCGAGGCGCCTGGAGGGGCAGAACGGTCATGGCTCTGAGGCTGTGACCGCAGTGGAGGACATGGGCTTGCACTCCCCCAACAACAATAGAGACTCCCTTTATACCAGCATGCCAAACCTGAGAGACTCGCCCTCACCTTCAGCTTCACCGTACCCGCCCGAGGAAGAGGAGGAGGAAGAGGAGGAGGAGCTCTCTCCCTCGCTTCAAAGTGAAAGCGAGGAGGCTTATCGTAAAAGCATGCCCGAGCTTGGTGATGCACCGCAGCCGCTGTCCTACTACCACATAAACCGAGGTACGAGCGACGGGTGCATCATCCCACCCAACAACGAGGACTGCCCACAGGAGGGGGAGGCACCAAGCGATGGACAAATGCAGCTCATCACCAGCCTCTGAGTGGGACATCTTTGCACATCTTTTTTTCAGCCGAGTACTTTTTCCACTGGCGCGAGGAGAGCCCGTGAGCCATGCTGTGCTCACGCCCTTCCTGTCAGGGCAGGAAGTGAAAACGTCCTGAGTGGGGATTAGGAGTGAATGAATGAATGACTTTTGCACACAGATCTCATTTACACATGAACACGTCCAACTGAGGCCTGACGGCTGTGAACTGTGGACACTCTGCTGTTGGGACTAATGAGGTGCAGATAACACACAGTCAAGGAGATAAATCTGGCCTTTCTGTTGTACTGAGAGAAAAATCAGAGTAAAAGATTAAAAAAGAAAAAACTCCAGGCGAAGAACCATGAAACTCTTGACATATTCCTGGGGGCTTTATGGAACCAGGGTCTTTTTAGACAAGAAAAAGTGCAGAACTAGAACTAGTGTTGCTCCACTCCACATCAGGACTGTAAATTGAAGAAACCACTAATTCAGACTCAGGCCTTATATTTTTCTCTATTGCACAATTAACTGTTGTACAAGTAACAGCTGAAAAAAATATATTTTGCTGTACCACTAGTGTAAAAAGTAAATCTAAAAAACTGAAGAAAAAAAGAAAAACGGCAAATATTCAGTAGTTATGCCCTTTCAATGTTAAGACTCTTCAGACAAGATTAATCAAACTGTTGGAAATGTACTTTTTCCTCTCACACTTGACTTGTTGTAGTATGTTTGAATATAAAAAGGAAAAAAAAAAAGTTTCGAGAGACATCAGTCCATATGAACCCATGCTCACGTCTCTGCTTGTGAAGTGCTTTTGCTTTCATGAATGATGAGGTTTTATTTTGCCAGTAGTATATTTGTTAACACCGGGCCATGCACAGACTTACAGGAGCGAGTTGGATTTCTGCATAATTTCCTGGAAAGAAACTGAAGACACAGGTTCATGTCATCGCAAACTTGCAGTTTTTGCAGACATGTTTCATTCTTTGACACTAATTAATTTATTAAGTATTCAGGAAAAAAATAAATAAAACATTGTTGGGAACGTGTGAAAAGTTGTTGCAGCACTGATAAGGTTCATTTTTTTTGTAAGAGCCCATCATCAGCTGATATTTAATTCAACTCCTGTTTGATATCAAATAAATGTGAATTTTTTTCTTGTTCGCAGACATCTGGTTGTTTATTCATCTCATTTATTTTTGTATTAGAAATCTGCAGCGATCGTGCATGAACTGTAAAACGGACGGTGTATCTTACTAAATTCATGCAAATAGGGAACTATTTTTAAAGCAATGTAAATTCAATCATCATGTTTTTGGCTTTGTAAATATTACCATATATCAGGGGACAACATTTCATCTGACTTTGACCTTTTAATGCATGCACACACACATGCACACACACAAGGCCCCTTGTGTATTTGTGCCATGACATTCTCACAGCAACAGTTTGTGCTTGTTCTCATTCTGTCTCATCCTCTCTGTGCTTCCGCTCTCTTCTGTACGAGACATCTGTTGTCCGTCTGTAAAGTCCGGTTTGTGTCCAGCAAGGGTGGTGCATTTTTTGAAAGTGCCCCCACCCCACAACCCACCCCCCGTGGTGTGAAAGAGTTTTCAAAAACGTCAGCCGAAGAGTTGCAGAGAAAAGCAAAGTTTTACAGCATGTAATAAACTGCCAAAAATGTATTTCTTACATGTTAGTTACTGCAAATAGTGTATGTTTTTATATTAATAACTAACATGGCATATCAGACACAAACTGAAATAAGGCAATAAAAGATGCTATTTTAGTCATATGCTTCAGAAAAAGCTAAATATTGTTCAAATTGGGAAAAACTGTTTTTATTTCTCTGCAAAAATAGAAACAATTACCAGTAGTATTTTTTAATAAACCCTAAATAGTTTAAATATGGCAATCATAAAAGCCAAATAATTTCAAATGTAGGCCAATTTAAAACATTTTTGATATAATTAAATGTTATTGGAAATGCAGTGTGTCTCACAATCATTGCTTGAGAAACCTGTCAATTTTAATTAGCTCAAAAAAAAACTTAACATGGAATCAATTGGCTACAAGAAGAAGTGATTAAAAAGAGGTAACTAATTATTGCTTCATTTTGTTGTGTATGTTGATTAATTATTTAATCATATAAAACCATAGAGTATTAAAAGCCTAGCTTTCTTTGTTCCTTAAATGAATACATGTGCAACATATTACTTTGAGTACTTTTTGTACATTCAGTGATTAATTTATGAAAGTATCTTAAAGTCTGTCCATTGGTTCTTATATTTTATTAACAAACAAATAGGGTTAATTTCAACAGATAATTATATATGTTAGTTATAAGCAAGCATTTTGTGTAAAATACAACACTTGAAGTGAGTACTGTGAATGTTCTTAGTTACAACTATACATCAGGTGTGTGTATTTTGTGTTTTCTGTGAGTTGGCTGGTGGTCATCTTAAATGGGTTAACTTTAAAAGTTTAATAACTTTGGAGGTCCATTAAATTTTATGCAAGTGTTATTAAAACCGATCTATTAGTTCATGGGAATTTCTGCTAAGAGAGAAAATTGACACTAAATAGTTATTGGCCTAATTTGAAATAAAGACCTTATACTGGTTTTAACTGCTCAACATATGTGTTTAGGATCAGTCTCAGCTAATGCCACAACAAAATTTAAGTCATTATTAGTAAAATTGACTATAGCCTGTTTTTATTATTACCGGTAATATTTTAGGTCATTAGCTGTGGCAGCCATCTTGAATAAAGTTGACTAAAATGTATCTATTGTAGATTGGTTAGCTGTTTTCAACAAGTTAATTATTAATTACATTAAAATCTGTCCAGTGGTTCAGAAGATGTTTTCCTAACAGACGCACACACACAGAGGAAAAAATGTGATATCTTTCCAGTTTCATTCAACCTTTATTTAGACAGGTAAATCCCATTGAGCCTCTTAAGGTGCAGAAAACAATAATTAAAAAAACAGTAAAAGACCTGATTTTATTTTCTCAAATTCAGTTAGCAAAATTATAGTCTGCACAATTCTTCTGTTTCTCCATTGCATTGTGTTACTATAATAAAAATAATAGCTGCAATGGTCCAAAAACAAACAAAATTAACCATTTTGCAGATTTTGTAAATTTTAATTTTTAATGCGAAAAAGTGGGATTACTACTTCCAAACCCACACATTCCTTGGGATTAAAAGTTAGCCAAAAAAAAAGAGGCAATGTTGGATGCTGTCTGCTCACACCATTTGTTTACTCAGATGTGTAGACCAACTGGCTTTTGCAGAAAACATGCATTATGCATTCATCTAACTATATTTCCTGTACCAGCTTTTTACAGTCTGCAGTTTCAGGAAGCCAAAGTTTTTCCCAGCTGTCACCTGCGAGACATGCTCACAGATATGCTGAAGTAAATAGCATCCATGTCAGGGAGACTCGATAAGCATCGGTTTACACTGTTGTGCATCATGAGGGTGATGCTCTCCACTGTTTATACTGCTACCATCTAAATGCAGAATTGATTCTTAGGTCGGGGGAGAGCTCACAGCAGAAGCTAAATCCCCTCTCCTATTACAGCTCTGAATATTCTCGCATAACAGCACTGGGGCTGGATCCAATGACATGAGTTAGGGAACTAAATGTTATACTTGATGACATTGTTTATTTGTTTGTGTTTTGTCCTTGAAGTGCGCTTCAAATTACCTGGTCAAAATGATAAAAACTTGAGATCTAAAGATTGCAATGTCCATCTTACTCATCCAAAAACTGGAAAATGTCATCAAACAAATGACAAAGAAGCGATGTGTAAAGTTACTCAAAATATTTTCCAACCTGTTGTTTACAATAGTTATTATAGGCTCAGTAAAACATTCAACCTCAGTTAAAAAAAAAAAGTTACTTCTAAAATGTCTTAAGAGTTGCTCAACACATCCCACATATGCATAAAAGTATAGCTATCCAGTTGTTTAAGAAATATTTCACACTGTTTAAATTCCCAGATTTTCCACCTTCTAAGTTTCATATCACATTGCCTACAAGTATTTACTGGCACGCACGACACACCGCTACTCCAGAAACGTGTCCTGTACATTTAGATTACTTTCACTGTTTCAGGCTGTAGTCTAAAGCCAACATTAGCGCCTGGAAAGCAATGACGGTTAGCTTGAATAAGTTGCACGTGAGCGTTCTCAGGTCGGACACGTTGCCGTGAGGATATTGTTAAAGATCAGTTTAATTTATAATGACGAACAGACACTATAATGTCATCCATCACTTGGATATTAGCACATTCTGGGTGAAGTGTGGTGAGAAAATGAGCTGTGGATTCCTGAGCTTCACTTCACCCACACACAGCTCTTATTTGATAATCACGCCAAAGCCGCGGAGAAAAACTATGAAGGTCCAGACAACAGAGCAATTTCATATATCAGACGGTAAAGCTATCACTTGTCATCAGATCAGCTGATTGTTCTCCTCAGGTGATTTGTCAGCAAAAGCAGAAGCAATATTAAAGATCTAGTATTTCTGAAAGGAATGCTCACCACTTTTCTTGCCAGAGTTTTAGACTTAGATCGTCTTATATTGATAGGTGATGGAGTTGAAGCTGTCTCATATGATATTGAAACACGCTGTGTAATCTCTTAGGATCGGTTACTGCTTGGAGTATTTGTTGTATATGACTGTTAGCTGCTGCTGCACAAAATCTTAGCTCCATATCTGTACAAGTGAATAAGGTAAAGCTATTTTTGTGTAAATAATGTTGATTATCTGTGGCAGCCACCTTTATTTAGGTTGACTTCAGTTGTAGATGTACAGACAATTAATCCTTTTAGTTTCACTGAAATCCATCTGGTGTTCTATGAAATATTTTGCTAACAAACAAGGTTGGCAGGCTGTAAGCAAAATGTGTTGCACTCGGGACATTCATTCAACCTTTACAGGTTAATCCCATTGAGACTCGGGGACTCATTTACAAGAGAGACCTGATTTTAACAAAGAGTGATGACAACAGTTGACATTCATAGAAAACATACAAATTGAGAAGAACAAATGAAAGAAAATTGTATTTAAAAAAAACCCTGCTAAATTGTAAGACGATGTACAAAACTAAAAACAGGAACATGTCTGCATTGGTTTTTGCCATGAACTTATATGTTTAAAGCCACTTAGAGAGGTTAAAGTTGAGACCTTCAGATCTTTTTGCAAGATATTCCAGGAAACAGGAGCAGAGTAGGAGAAGGCTCTTTTACCTGGTTCAGTCCGCACTGAGGGGACACTTCAGGTAATAATGTCCTGAGAGCACATGCTGTAGCTGCACTCACAAAGTGACATGTAGGAGGAGATGTATAAAGGCAACAGACCAAGAAATGATTTAAAGATGAAAATGTACCAGTGAGAGAGTCTGCGTGAAGTTAATGATGTCCAGTTAACCAGTGAATACAGGGTGCAGTGGTGGATACGGTAGTTACAGCCAGTTATGACTCTTAGCGCATCGTGATAGACAGCATCCAACATCTGTAAGGTGCTTGTAGGGGCGTTCTTGTAAATAATGTCACCATAGTCAATGGAGGGAAGGAAAGTTGCAATTACAAGGTGTTTCCTAGCATTCAGAGTTAGACAGGATCTATTGCTGACAAAGAAACCCAGTTTAACTTTCAGTTTCCTTACCAAGTTTTCCACGTGGAGCTTAAAAGAGAGATGTGAATCAATCAAGATACCCAAATATTTGTAGGAATCGACAAACTCAATAGGAGCAACATTTGAGGATAAAATCGAAGGAAGAACTGCTGGGACCGACTTCCTGTTTGAAAACAACAGCCCTTTGGTTTTGTCGGCGTTTAGGACAAGTTTGAAACAAAACAAAACTGACTGGAGGATGTCAAAAGTGGATTGCAAAAGCTGGAAA